CCCCCCACCCAAGTCCACAGTGGTGAACACGGTGGTGCAAATTCAGCAAGTGGTACTTGCAATCTCAGGCTCTTAATCAAATACCAAGATATTTTTAAGGAGGACAGAAATATCGCTGGCATTTATTCAACAACCTGCTCTCTAGCTGGGTGTAGTGGCACATGCCTATAATCCCAGCGCGTGGGAGGCTGAGGCAGGAGGATCACTGTGTTCAGAGCCACAAAGTGGGCTACAAAGTGGGCTCTAGTTCAGCCTGAACTAAAAAGCTAGATCCTGTCTCAAAAAAAGAGCTAACAACAACAACAACAACAATCTAACAATCTACACTCATTCAACAAGGCCTTCAGAGAGGTGACAAAGCCCCTCTGCAAGGCACTTCGAATGCATCACATACGGTGCCTCCCACTGTTACGACCTCTATCTAGATGCCTCTAGAGCTCGTGTCCCCACACTAAGGGCTTCTGGCAGGTGAGAGGACCAAGGGGAGGTAATTCAGTGGTGAATTTGTCCCCTGAAGACTTTTAGCTGAAGAGATGTTGGGAGGTGCCGCCCAGGGAGGAGGTGGCTGTGGGGGCAGCCCAGCAAGGTCGGTTGGCCTCCCTCCTCCTCCAATCTCTGCATCGGGCTGCCCCCAAGAGTGCTTTCTCCTCTGCTGTGCCACCCCGCCTTGGAGCCAGCGGACTACAGACTGAAATCTCTACAAACTGGGAACCAAATCAGCCTCTCCTCCTCTAACTTGTGGTGTCAGGTATGTCCTGCCAGCACCGAGAAAGTAACTAAGACACTCCAGAAAGACAGATATAGCCCAGGGAAAGACTATCAGAGGTTTAACAGGAAAAAGAAAAGACTCCTTTGGCCTGGAGTCAGGAAAAGTTACCCAAGACAGGAGACATTGAAAGGTATTTGAATGTTTTGGTAGAGAAACATTTCGCTTTCTTTTTCCATACAGTATTTTTCATAATTTTGGTTGCTGGCAGAATAGCTGTTCTGCACACCAAGTTAATATTTAGTTTCTCAATGACATCTGCCTCACTGTGCATGAGAACTTAGCCCTTTGCCAGAACGTGTTCACCTGTATTTGAAATTCTTGACATAAGCATATCACTCCTTGCCCTCATGAAGAGAAGACGTACCTTTAGATTTATTTCCTTTCAAATAACTTTAAACAATGGATTCAAGCAAATTATAAGTTATGGAATTTTATGAAATTTTTGGTACTGAATACACAGGAAAACTAATTTTCTCAAGAGACCCACAAAGCTGGAAAAATCACACTGTGCTGTTGGTCCTAAGCAGGGCCTGCCTTATCCACCATATTAGAAGATTTCCACTGATCCTGCTTACCAAAAAAAAAAAAAAAAAGCTGAAAGGGACACAAGAAAGGGAAACAGGACATGACACACAATTTCAAGCTACACAAATAAAATTTCCCTCTCACTTTAAGTGACACAAATTAATAACTTTTAAAAAGATTAAACATTTAGTGGAAATAACTTTTAAATATTTTATGAGACATATTTAAAATGTTTCATAGGGTCAGCCAAATAGCTCTAGAGACTAAAATGCCTGATTAGGCAGACACAGGGTCCGGGGTTTGATACCCAGTGTGCCATACTGCCTGGTCAGATGGCAAATGAGACTGGGCATGGTGGTACACGCCTGTAATCCCTGCGCTTGGGAGGCTGAGAACAGCAGGATCACTACAAGTCCGATCTGTGTAGTGAGATCTGTAGACTCTGTACTGAATACATTAAAAAAAAAAATTATTTTTTTCAAAAACAAATGTTTCATATCTTTTCAGTGTTAGGCTAGGTTTGGTCTAATTATTGTGATCCAGAAATGAGACTCAGGTTGGTACGCTCTCACCTCACTGCATACCCAAGTGCCTGATACAGAACATAACCAAGGGCCGGAGGAAGACGAGTGTGGCCCCAGAACAGCAAGAGCAGAGAAGAGTGCCAAAGCAGGTCTCAAGAGCCACGCAGGGTGTGGGGCACATCGTGAGCCCTGCAGGTAACCTCTAAGGCAGTAGGGACAATGACAAGCCACCAAAGATTGGGGCTGGGAAAGTGAAGATGTATCTCAACAACAGCCTGCCTCAAGCACGGTGCACAGCATAAGCTCAAAGGGCCAGGCTGAAGGGCAGAGACAGTGGAGGGGCCGGCGGAGCAGCCTCGGCGTGGGGCAATGAGCACATACCTGCACCGTTCCCTACACAAGGCGCTGTTTTAAGTATAACACAAATATTGATTAATTTATGCCACCAATGATCCTGTGACCCAATTCATAGAAAAGTAAAACCACTTTCCCAGGGGTGTAAGAATTGGTGTAACCCTGATTTATCAACAGCCTTCAACCTCAGCAGCACCTGTGGTTTTAACTATTACCCTACTTAATAAAAAATAAGCTCAAAGTAAAATCTGGAGGGGTGTGGACAAGTCGTGGTCTGTGCCTCATGGGTGTGGCACATGAATGTCATGTGTCTTGTAGAGTCAAAAGAGGGGCCTCCTTTTATATAAATGAGGCTAACTCCAAAAGGTACAGGATCTAGGAAGATCAAGAAATCCTATCTTGTACATCAAGATGACAGATGAGTGAGTATATAAGGGCAGGCTTGGAGATTCAGATTTGGTGACTTTGATGGTCGGAATAATGACCATCAAATAATTACCGAAATAATCATCTTTGCCAAGATGTCACGTTCTTGTCTCTGGACACTACGGACCCTTCATCTTCTACATGGCAAAAGGAACTTTGCAGATTTGATTAAGTTAAAAATTTTGAGGTTACCCTGGATTATTTTCTGAGCCCCATGTAGTCACAAGGTCCTTTTAAAAGGGAGGAAATAGAGTCACAAACTCGCAGAACACACACCTCTGACTTTGAACTCAGAGGGTACACTTTGAGCCGAATGCAGGGAGGTGACTAGGGCCTTGGGAAGGAACACAGCCCTTGGCTTTAGGACCTCTGATACCTGAAAAAGGGCAAGAATAAGTTGTGTGTGTGTGTGTGTGTGTGTGTGTGTGTGTGTGTGTGTGTAATACTGAGGATTGAACTCAAGGCCTTGTGCATACTAGGCAAGCACTCTACCACTGAGCTAAATCGCCAGCCCAAATCTTGTTTTCTAAGTTAGTATTTAAAGTGTTAGAAGTTTGTATGTCATTGAGAGCATAAATGGAAGAAGCAATAACTTCTTGGAAGGCACAGGGAGATAGGTATTAGGACAAATGCAGAGGAATGGCTTTAACTAGGAGAATACTTCTTTATAGAGAAGTGAAGGAGGATGCGGGAACAGAGGCTAGGCTGTGGGGGAAGGTCATGCCACCCCACAGTGACAGCTATTAGAATCCCACCGCACTGGGTGGCTAGGGCAACAGTGGGGCAGGACTTGAACTGAGGGCTGTTTCTACACTGTTCCAAATTATTCCAAAGACTCGTAACAGGAAATAGTAGGAGTGGCCACTGGAGGGCTACTAGGTTTAGACTACTGTAACAGAGCTTGGGCAGGCCATCCAAGGCTCAGCTCCTGTTACTCTCTGTACTTCCTGGAGCTGTGAAGATCTTTAATGAATCTGTTTACAAGAAACTCTGAAAGCCTGGTAATCCCAGCGTTCTGGGAGACTGAAAACAGGAGGATCACTGTAAGTTTGATCTAAGTCATAAGACCCCATAGATCTTGTACTAAATACATAAAAAAGAAAATAAAATAAAAAAATAAAGAATGATAAAAAAAAAAAGAAACTCTGAAAAAGAAGGCAGGATTCATTAGGATAAGGGGTGATGGGAAGATTTCACTGGGCTCTGTATCTATTTTTATGAAAATTAAAGAATACAGAAGACAAGCAGCAGAAGTACCTAAACTTTTTTGTCCTTTACATTCAAATCTATCTACACTTGGTTCTCTAATCCGTGCAGTGATTTCCTTCTTGGGTGTCCCTCACAGAAGGGGCACGTGAGGTGACACCAGTGGAGGGGCAGAGGTGAGGCACAAGGCAAGAGTATCAAATGCCACCTGCCCCAACCCCCAGCTCCCCCAGTCATGTTGAATACTTGGACACGTCACTCACTCTGGTCCCCGGTGTGAGCCACTCTCCTCACATAGCCCGTAAGTGACAACATCCTCACCATAATTTTCTTTCCCTAATTACTCCCAAATCTGGCTATAAAATTTTTTTCCTTATTTTAATGATAACTATGCTCTTACCTGATTCTATTTATTTTAGGCAATGCCTGTCAGTCAGACAACACCCTCATCCTTGTCCTGTGTTATCACACCATGTTTTCACCTCATTAATCTTCAGTTCTTATTTCTACTATCTCTCAACATGCTGCCTCACTTTCATTTCTTATTATGAATTTGATTCTTCATCTACAGGTTTCCTACCCCCATGGTCAAGTTTTGTGAAATGTAGTAATAATGTATGTTTGCCTCTTACATAAGCATTTAATTTCCTTCCATAAATAACTTTCCTCAATCTTGCTGATCTCCAACCACTTCCCTGTTACTGTCCCTTCCCCCACCCACATCTGTCTCAAAACTTCTAAGTTTAATCCTTAAAAGTTTAAACTCCCCCAGATTAGCACCCTCTCTGCAAGCTGTCCTCAACTCTCCACCCACATCTCCCATTTTTTTAGTGCTGAGTACCACCAGGCAGTATTCTAAGCACTGTATAAGCATATGAACACGCTGAACCCTTAAGAAATCTCCTGAAATAGGTACTATGCCTGCCCCACTAAGAACAGTGAGGTCTCAGAGTCCCCCACCCTCAATTATCACATGGCTGGTGAGCGTCAGAAGCTCCACACTTAGTAATGAACCTCATCCTTGACTCCTGCCTTAAGATGACACCAAAACTAGGCGGCTGGAGGAGCTCAACTATTCTGCTTATGCTACGCTGCTTATTCCAGGAACCTGAAAAGGGCATCCACACTAAGAAGTCACTTAGGTGGGGGGACTCCAAGTCCTCCGCAGCCAACGCAGGCAGCAGGAGTGCAGTTACCTGACAGCGCATCATAGAACTCGTCCTCGCTGAGGATGCTGGGAGGCGGGGATCCTTCGACCAGAGACTGCTCTAATTCATGATGCTCAGTGGCGAGAGCCTCCAGCGCTTCTGACAAGATTTTGTTTTTCTCTTGCTCTTGTTCCAATTTTAAATTCCTCACCTACAAGAAAACAGATGGAGAAAAAAAGTTTTCAGAGTGACATGATACAGTTGTAAGGAGGCAGAAATGAGTTGCTTTCGATTCAGTTCCACTGCAACATCAAAAGTGAAAACAATCATGTTATATACACACAGATGAATGAGCAAAATTACTCAGCTAATTTTGTTCTTCCCATGGGGACTTCTCTCACCATGGCTTAGCTAACGAAAACAGATTAAGACCTACCGAGCCATGTCAGCGCAAATGATCAGGATCCCAGTACAAGAAGGGGGTTAGTCATTTCAGCAACCAGACAAGTTTCTTTTAAAATACAGATTACTTCTCTCAACATTAATTAGGAAATTAAGAAGCTAGTTTTGGCACTATCGAACCAAATCAAGAATTAAAGGCCACCCTCAATGACCAAATGCATACCACATCAAAGAATAAGTGTTCTTCTAAAATGATCGGTGTTTTCATACGAAGGGAGGCAGGCAGGTAGTAATAACTATAAACATTTTCATTTCTACTTTTAACTCTGTATTTTTATTTCAACTCTGTATTTCACCTAGATACACTAAAAAAATATAGAAAAGGTAAAGCCTTGTTTGAGTTTTCACCTTTTCAAGTTATATCCCTTGCATGTGACCCAGGAGTAGATCAACATTTGCAGTTGACTAATGCCTTCACAATTCAACTAATCTAATCTTCATCAGATAACATGTTCTGGATTTGGTGGTGACAGTTCACCTACTTTTCTAGAAGCCCATAAATCACTACCTTCTTAATCCTTCTTGATTAAGTGCCAGCGTAGCATCGGATACAGGAGCCAGGAAAGCGGAGCTCCAAGTGGGCAACTGTGTATTCTCAGCAGTCTCCTCTTCCTTATGTGCCTGCCTCTAAGAGATTTCTACTATTATTATAGACAGCTAAGTTAGGTACAAATACTACAGGCAGCTAGAGAGAGCTGGGCCCTCACACAAGTAAATGCAGAAGATAAGAACATACTACAACTGGGGCAACCTCCTTGAAGGTCAGGCCTCAAGATAGAACTAAAATGACTGCACTTAGTATCTCCCCAAGGGATACACAATATTGATGGACATTCTGAACAGCCATCAGCCACCTGGGTGGGGCCAACACCTCCCACCGCGCACTTCCAGGAGAGGCCCTTGTTCTTTCCACACACACTTGCTACTGACTTGCTTCCCCATTGGATCACTGTTACCTCAGCAGCGGCACTTGCAAGTCTAATGGTCAGTCATAGTTTTGTCGCACTTATACCCACCTCATGGTTTGCTCTACAGTGTCACCTGTAGGTGGAAAAGAGGGCAACCCTCTTGCTGGGTCCACCCCAATCCCCTCTCAGGTAAGAGCTTTCTTTCCCTCAATAAATACTCCCTACTGTAATGTCCACTGTTCTTCACAATTCATTCTTTGATTGGGGGAAACATGAACTCAGCACACTGAACATCTAGAAGGGTCAAGATTGTGCTAGTTCCCTAATATCATTTAGGTCCTATATCATCCCTATGTCACAAGCAGGCTGGGTATAGAGGTGCAAGCCAGCAGTCCCAGACCCAGGAGGCTGAGGCACGAGGAGCACTGTACGTTCAGGTCAGCCTGGGCTAACAGTGAGTTCACAGCCAGCTTGGACTACACAGTGAGACCCTGTCTCAAAAAGCAAAAAAAAGAGATAAACAGATAAGGGGGAGAAGGAGGAAGAGGAGGAGGAGGAGGTTTCTACTAGCATTTAATATTTAATTTAGCAGCACTAAACACAGCGGTCTTTGAACTTGTTTTTTCAATATAGTCACAGAATTATTTCTAAAACATAATCCCAAAATACAAAATGAATGTTTGACAAAGTAGAACCACAAGTTGATGATGTATGTTGGCCCTGCTCCTTTGACTTCTTCCCTCCCTGTGGATTCTTGAGGTCCAAACCCAGAGGGCTTTCCGACAGTTTGAAAAACACTGGACAAGGTCCACCACCTCCTCCAACTCCAACCTCCCATCCCTGGTTGCGGGGCCGCAGAACTCTCTACGAGGCTCTCCTACTCTGTTTCCTGGGCTGAATCCATGCCTTGTGTGTTCTCTCTCTCTCTCTCTCTCTCTCTCTCTCTCTCTCTCTTTCTCTTTCTCTCTCTCATCTCCCCTCTCTCTTCCTCTCTCTCCCATCTCCCCTCTCTCCTCTCTCCCTTTTTCTCTCTATGCCTTCCAACACGAAGGCACCTCTTCCTCTGTTCTGACGCAGGCCTCCTTCCTGGCCTGAGGACCTGAGAGCTGCATGCTAGGTAGGACACTCCTAGAGCCCTTGACAGAATTTAAAAGTACAGTTTTACTTGGATGCTCAGCACACAGCATAAACAGGGTTAAATCTTTATCAACCTGGGAATAGTCCAATCCTCAGGCACTGAAGTGTTCATCATTACAGCAACAAGCTTATAATTAGTAGAGCTGTGATAATGAAATAAAAATAGCAGTAAATGGTAAGCAATAATGCGCAGACATGCAAAACTAAAAAAATCAAATATGAATATAATTACATATTTAGAAAGCTAAAGTATACTTGCAAATATTCCTATAATCTAAGTGATACCTCTTAATAAGATACTACGGCTAGAGACAACTTTAAAAAATAAAAATACAAGGCTGTTCTTGCTCCATCTGATGGGTTAAAGAACTCCTTTTTCTATAAATAAGGATGACATAATTGAGCAGTGTCCAAAATGAAACTGTCTCTGAATGGAAAACATCAGCACTGTTGTATTTGTAGATTCCAAAAACAGCCCTGCAAGACCCAAGTTTTCCTCAATGTCCTCCCTTTCTCCCCACCCCTTCTGCTTCTCCTTTTTAGCTTTTCAAATATCAAAATATAAATATGCTGCTGATGCTGTATCTTCAAGTGTAATCATCCCCTCTAATAAATACAGACATTTTCATACCTCAATTTATTTAGCAGATTTCTCAATGTATCTTTTATCCATCTAAAACTGGCATCACTTCACTTCTGCCACAGCTAAACTTTTTTTTTTTTGCAATACCAGGAATCGAATTCAGGACCTTGCGCTTGCCAGGCAGGTGGCTTTATGCAGCTGAGCTATCTCCCAGCCCTAAATCTGTTCTTTCTTATTTTTAGGAGAGTATGAGCAGAATGCAGAGGAGGAAGAGGCTCCAACTTCTTTCTATTTCTGACCTTGTTTTGATCTTTCGATTGATTGGAGGATACTTTTATCAGTAGCAAGCCTAACAGGCTTCACTGCATTGAAGAACTCTTACTACAGAAACACCTACAAAGGGCGGCCCTTCCCATCAGGTCCAGGAGCCACGGCCATGAGAAAGTAACCACCACGCAGCCCAGCAGCCGCACTAGCAGGCAGCTCTCGCCCCGCGTGAGTTACTGCAGCTGGCGTTAATACCGTGTGGTCGATGCAAGAGATCAGGACAACACAATTTCAAATCCTCTACAATCCCCACATCTCAGAAATACCTAGGGGAAATCTTCCACCTAAAATTAGTATAGAACTTCTAACAAAGATATTGTAGAGTATAAATTCATAAAATATTCACCTTAGTTTTAAGCTGTTTCCTAATTTTTCCATGGCTAATTTACTTACTACGGTAACACAGAAACAGCATCTTCTGTAAAGTATCTTTGTACAATACCAGGTGTGGGGCTGCTTTGTTTGTGGCATGTATTGATACATGTATATTAAGTATGAGGCTTCAAATTTGCAAACTGTAACAATCCTCCTACTTATCAAGGAAAAGACTTTCACAGAACTAGAGAATGGCAGCCAGTGTTTCCAGTTGCATTGGTCCTTCTGGACTAAAGTCTGCAACAAGAACCAACATACAATCAAGTGAACATTAATATTAAACTTATTAGGCTCAAATTAACTGAGCCACGATAGAGCAAAAGTAAACACGCACTCGGGTTTATGACTGTTGTCCTTGAAAACATGAACATAAACTTAAGCCTTTCCATTCTCTCCTCAAACTACTTCAATATGGCAGCCTTTCATTTTATTCCATTTCGTGACAGGAGAAATTCAGCGAATACTTGCAAAGGGAACAGATGCCAGCAAAGGAATCCACAGATTTAAAACCAGCCATCTGTGAGCCAGTTCATCTGCATTTTATCTACCCTCTTATCCTAGAAGTGCCTTGCCATTTACCTGTGGTTTACAGGGGTTAAGTAAGCCAGAGATAAAAGTCTTACAACTGGCAAAGGTCCACCATTAAGCAGCGCCTTGGCGCTTAGTACATACGAAACACGGGGTGCAATAATCTCAACAGAAAATAGGTGAAACTGAGTCTTGATTCTTAAAACCTGGTGTAGCTCCTTCCACTGGGCAGACTTCGGTCAGTTCAACAATGGTAGCATTTTTATTTCTTCTTTATTACACATAAAGCAACAGCAACGAAGAATTGAACTGAAATGCTAGATCTTGAGTTTTATAAAGTATGACTGTAAGTAAAGGAACAGCACTGACACTTCTTTTTGCGGTTATATGACCAACAGTACTCTCATTTGAAACATTTCTTCAGATGCGTTGTGATCCCTGACGCTATCATCAACTGTGACGAAGCTAAGTCTCCTAAGGAAAGGTGGTTGTCAACTCTCAGCTCCCACTACTGTGCTGTTGGGGTGAAGGTGTGCTACAGCTTCAGGATGTCCTCCAAACTTCATATATTGAGACTATCCCCAAGTCGGGTTAACACTGTGCAGGGGAGGTGATGAGGGCCAGGTAAGGGCCTGTGGATGGGCCTCCGCCATGGAATTAGCTGGTTTATAAAAAGAGGATGAGACCTCCGGTAGCAAGTCAGCTCTCTTTGCCATGTGATGCCTTCCACCATGCCACGGTCCAGCCGTCGTGCTACTGCCCAGATACACAGCAGATATCGGCACTGGGCACTTGGACTTGCCAGCCTGCCATGAGAACAAACCTTTATTTTTAATAAACTACCCAGTCTGCATCACTCAGTTACAGTATCAGAAAGTGAGATTCAGACAA